AGCCTCGTTGACTATTTAATTGTATCTCCGCATTTATTTGATGATATTGCAGATTTTGAGGTAATTGAATTTAACCCCATGTTCTCTGATGTGCATTGTCGATTACATTTTTCGATTGACAGTGCACCTCCAGTGGCACTAAAGACAGAACAAAATAAAAACAAAGGTAATACTTACGTCAAATGGAACCATCAAAAGGCACCTGAATTTGAACGGGTGCTCAGTGATGACATAGGTCAAGTATTACAACAGGTGAACGGTGTACTCGATCATGTAAATATTGAGGATGTCACGCCTGAACAGATTAACGGTATACTGCATGATATTGGTAGCTCATTGATGAATACCGCATCTTCTGTCTTTGGTTCGAGAAAAAGAAAGCAAGAAAAACAAAGTGATAATAAACCATGGTTTAATACTGAATGTAAAATAAAGCGTAATGCTTTTCACAAAGCCAGGGATTATTACTCAAAAATCAAGACAACTGAAAAAAAAAGACTCCATGAATAGATTAGCAAAGGAGTACCGAAAGGTTCTGAACACAAGTTTCAAAGCTTACTCTGAGAAATGTTCCAGTGAGCTTAGGTCTTTATCTAGATCGGACACTAAAGCATTCTGGAAAACATTACATAAATATTCTAGTAGGCGAAAAGAAAATCCAGATATAGACATAGAAACATTTTATGAATATTTCAAAAAATTAAACGCTGGTGACTATGTCGGTGATGATGATGAGGAGGACTTTGATATAAATGATGTTTGTAATAATCCAATTTGTGATGAGATCTTGAACGGAGTCATAACTGAACTGGAAGTGAGTGAAGCTATAAAAGATTTAAAAAATAATAAAGCACCGGGCTTGGACAAAATATTGAACGAATATTTGAAATATTCGCCTCCTAGTCTAGTATATATTTATTGTAAATTGTTTAATCTCATTTTGAATACAGGTATTATACCTGAAAACTGGACTTCTGGTATTATTAAACCAGTTTTCAAAAACAAGGGATGCCAAATTGATCCTGATAATTATAGAGCAATTACTCTCATCAGTTGCCTTGGGAAACTTTTCACGTCCATTATAAATACTAGACTGAATATTTTTGCAAATGAACTGAATATTATATCTGAGAACCAGACTGGATTCCGTAAGGGCTATTCTACACAAGATAATATTTTTGTATTACACGCACTTATTGAACTGTACTTTTCTTTTGGGAAGAAACTCTTTTGTACATTTGTGGATTTTAGAAAGGCATTCGATACTGTTTGGCGTACAGGGCTGTGGAAAAAATTACAAAAAAGTGAAATTAAAGGGAAATGTTTTAAAGTTGTGTATAATATGTATAGTGGAATTAAGTCTTGTGTTCAATTTAATGACTCTCAGTCAGAATTCTTTCCATGTCTAACAGGTGTTAGACAGGGGGAGAATTTATCGCCTTTTCTCTTCTCGATCTTTTTAAATGATCTTGAAGACTATTTTTGTCAGCTAGATGGACTGCCCTTAGAAATAATTAAAGAGAAACTTTAAAGTGAATTACATATTTTTTATAAAATTTTTATTATATTATATGCGGATGACGCAGTCATCTTAGCAGAGAGTAAAGATAGTTTACAAAAAGCTCTTGATATATTTCAGTCTTATTGTTCATTGTGGAAACTACAAGTAAATGTAAATAAAACCAAGGTTATTATCTTTTCTAAAAGAAAAATAAACCACAATTTCAGTTTTACATTACAAGGTCAAATTCTTGATATTGTAGATACATATCCTTACCTTGGAGTTATTTTAAATATAATGGTACATTTATTGAGACTAAGAAAAAACTTGTAGAACAAGCAGAAAAGGCAATGTTTTGTGTTTATAAACTTATCAGAAATGAGTCTTTACCTGTTGATATCCAATTAAAGCTATTTGACTCGATGATAGAACCAATTTTATTGTATGGATCCGAAATTTGGGGATACGAAAACCTTAAAACTATTGAGCAAATCCATTTGAAGTTTTGTAAAAGAGTACTCAAAGTAAGGAACACTACACCAAATTTTATGGTTTTAGGTGAACTTGGAAGATTTCCCCTCGAAATTAAAGTCAAACTTAGAATGGTATCATTCTGGACAAGACTTGTACAAAATGATTCTAAACTAAGTAGTATTTTGTATCAACTGATGTTATCCTTACAAATTAAAACTAAATATACCTTCAAATGGATTAAATGTGTAGAAACTATTTTTAATGAAGTTGGAATGAGTTACATTTTTAAAAACCAGTCTGTATTTTGTGATAAAATTGTTGTGAAGCAAATTTTATGTGACCAGTTTATACAAAAATGGTATAGTGATATACAAAACTCCTCCCGTGGCCTCTTTTATTCGATATTCAAAAAACAGTTTTGTTTGGAAAATCACTTATTGAGACTTAGTGAATTTAATCGAACGTGGCTAACCAAACTACGTACATCTATTTACATTTACCTATAGAAACTGGTCGTTGGTACAATATACCAAGGGAGGAAAGAACATGTAACTTATGTACAAATGGTATTGGAGATGAATTCCATATTTTGTTTATATGTAAAAATGAAAATATTGTGTCATTAAGAAACAAATACATACCTATGTACTACACAGCTTACCCGAGCATTATCAAGTTTGAAGGTTTACTGTCTTATTGTAATACTGAACTATACAAAAAGCTATCCTTGTTCATCAGAAAAGTTAATGTATTTCTTTGATATATGTCATTTCGATCCATATGTGTTGTATATCTTTCTGCATAATCATTCACACTGTTTGATGCTAATGAGCTATGTATATTGACTTTAATATGTTTAATTGTTCTTCTGTCATGTTATTTACATATATTGTATTATATATTTGACCTCATGTTACACGTTTAAATGTGTCTGAGTGTTTTCTAATAAATGTTTTTTTAGAAGGTTTTTCACCTGACAGGATGCTGCATTTAGAATGTGTAAAAAAAAAGACGAAATTAAGCAGCTATTACAATGACAACAAAAATTAAAATTATTTATTTTTTAAATAATATTGTGAAAGGTTGAAGTTGTCTTCATTTATCATATCCTAGGCCATAAAAATAATTTTGCATTTTAAATCTTCATAAAAAAGAAGGTTTGTGACAGAAATGCAGACTTGTGTTTATAGTTTGCTAACTGCGCTCACATTAAAGAAATTATTGGAATGTATATTAAAAACATTTGCAAAAAATCTATTTTATTGTTACTTTTAGTTTTGAAATATCAATTACAAGGAAGTAAAAACCATAATGTCCATCCATCTCAACATACGTCCTCTAAGGATCATTGAATAGACATATTGTTTACTATTTTGAACAAAAAAAATTCTATTGACAATCATATATATTACTAAAAATTCAAAACTATTTACGAAACCATTATTTATTGATCTTGTTTTGTTTGAAAACAATTATTTTACTATTGAAATGGTGAACTCTATTTTCTCCTGCCTTTAGAATGTTGAGAAAATAAAGATTTAGTTATTGTTATTGCACAATAATTATCAATACATTAACATTGTGTTAATGATTTTTTTCATGAACAGATATTAAAAGACTTAATTTGTTTAAGGAAGTTTTAAGTGCACACAATTTACTATACTATAATTACAGCATTCTAATTAATGGCGTTGCTTTGCAGGATAGCATCTGTAAAAATCAGTTTCTATGGGAAATAGAATGTTACTTATTTTCTTGGAAAAACCACAATCTTTAACTTGATAACAAAATGGTTTAAACTTAAGTTTGTATGTATAAAAGTGTCATGTCTAAATTGATATTACCAGAGCATAAGGATAACATTTTTACAGAATTTTTAATACTCTATTATGTCTATAGCTTACTTACCTTTGTACCAATACCTTGTATCATGCTATAAAACATGTGAAACCTTTAAGAATGCAATTAATGAGAGCTACATTACACTAATAGTGAAGTATGGGGTGTGCAATATTTGTTTCCTTTCATCTTGACTTGCATGAGTTTGAATGAAGAGAAGCAAAAAGGTTAGCCTGTGCATGTATTTGGATGTTTTCACATATGATAATTCACGTGTAGTTTTCAGTATTATGTTCAATGTTTTATAAAAATATGGCAGTTACCTCCCTTTGATTGCTTGAATTATCTTAATATGGTAATTAGGTGAATAAAATTTGCTATTTTACTAGTGAATGTATAACATAAACTGGTTAATATTATTTATTGTAATTTATTTGTAATTAAGAATATATCTAAATCATTGGTAGATAAACAGGTTTAAAAATGTATGCGTACGAGAATCAATTAATTTTATTGAATTGTTATAAAACATATAAAAAATATCAAGTAAGTAAAGACAAATTTGAAAGAGTAGGTGGGGTAAATTTATTTGATTATTTTTCATCATATTAATTATTTTACAAAGTACAGTGGGTTTGAAAGTACTACAAATGGTTTCAGAGGTGATGGATACACAGTCCATGTTTTTGTTTGTGCTTGTTTAATGTAAAAGAGGCACTGGGAAGGATTATTAGTTCACTAGGTCAAAATTACTGTCATCGAAAAATGAGACAGACTGTAAAAATTATGAATGTAGAACATAAGTTGACTTTCTAATTTAGAACAAAATTAGTCACATCTTCCAAACCAATGGTAATCTGTAAATATTGAAAAATAAAAAGTTTTATAATCATTTGGACCTAGACTGTTATCACTATCACTCTCTTTTATTTGGCGAAAACATGTATTTGTTTAGGAGGTAGAATCCACCCCAACTGAAAAATTTATGCCATTGTCAAACTTTAGTCAAAATTCAATAAAACGTCTTTCTGATAAAGCTTTTATTATTTTTCCTGTTTTGTTGTCAAGGATATTTGTTGAATACAAAAAGATATTCTACTTTAAATTATAAGAATAACATAATCTAAACAATGAAATATTAACCCTTTCTTGGGCTTTTAGTTTTTGGTGCATATGTACTTGTCAGGTACAAAATTGTTATTGAATCACTAACCTTATCATATGCTTCACAAATGTCAGTATTTATAATAAATTTTATAAAATATTATTTGTCTTTTGAAATTTTCATTTTGTATATAATTATTAGTCTCAGTCAAGGTAAAATAGATCTGAGATTTCATATAGTCAGCTGTTAAATACTGAAATAGAAAATGGGAGAACAGGGTTAAGAAAGCTCCCCTTTCGGTTTGAAGGCCAGTATGAGATTTTTGGAGCCTGTTGTCTGTAATCTTTTTGAAACTTTTCTCTGAAACTGTACACTTTATTCAAATTAAGAGAAACATGGCCTTTATGGTTTTATAGTAAAACGCATCTAATTGGGTTTTATTTTGAAACCATGAACTTTCTATTTGCACACTTATGGGCATTAATTGCCCTTCTGCTCAATGTCTAGGCGTTTTAACTATAACGCACATAAACTTCATGCAGCCTACATGACATGTTGGAAACAGACAAGTTATCTTGGGAATATGTTGATGCTACTGATGATTGACAAAGTAAAATTTAAGATTGATTAATTTGTTTATGGATATGCTGCACCATTAATAAGTGAGTTTTGCAGTAATGCATATATATTAATCAGTTAGTGAGCCACAATCATTATCTTTTTTATGCCCCACCTAAAGGCATTATCTTATTGGGTTCGTTTGTCCCACTTCACATGGTGGGTAAGGTTGTCCTGCGAGAAAACATTCTGTGCTGGTGATTTGGTCCTGACTGGTGCTGGTGAAAATATGTAAACAAAGGCGAAAATGATGATTTTTGACGTTTTCTTGCATAAAAAAATGGAAGGAAACAGTTGAGATGTTTTAATTGTGTTTCTTATGGGTTCATAGGCAAACAATGTAAAATGTGACTCTCTAAACTGTTTCAGTAGAGGTTTCCCGATTTGCTACCGTACCAACCGTAGTACGAACTGGGAGCCTTCATCTAACTTTTGGAAATGATTGATGTATACACTTAATATCAACGTATTTTTTATGAATCATAAACAGAACTATTTTGAGAATTTTTAGCTGTAATTTGGTACTAATTTCATGTGGTTACTTCTTGTCATCATAGTAAACAATATTATGTGCACTCGATTATGCTTTCAAGCAACCGTTGCAAATAACCGTTGGTACGAAAGGTTTATAGTTTAGAGTTATTTCCCCCTAAAACTTCATAAACAAAAAGAAGCTTAATTACAAAACAAATGTTAAACCTATATAAATTTTGTTCGTATTAACTTTCTATCAATATAAAATGTTTAAGTTTTGTATTTTTTTGGTAGGGTTTTAAAAAATATGAACAAATAACTTTACAGTCCAGGTCGTTAAAAACTTCCATTTGATGTTGTTAAATTTACACCGACCGTGCAAGGACTGTATAGCCAGTCAAAGTCGTTTTAAACTTCCATTTGTTGTTAAGTTTGCGTTTCCGAAATATAAAAAGATGTTAGTAATGGTTATATTTCCAGTATTGTGAATAATATTAAAATTATCAACCTGAGGAATAAACAAGTGAATATAGTGTATCAGTATGAAAAAAAAATGAACTTGTGATATAGCATGAACAGATATTATATAGTTCCTGTAACATAGATCAACTTCTGTTCTAGATATAAGAAGATGTGGTAATAATGCCAGTGAGACAACTCTCCATCCAAGTCAAAATTTGTAAAAGTAAAGCATTATAGGTCAAAATACGGCTTATTATCTTGAAATCTTTAATAGACAGAGAATTACTTCAAAAGCAAAAGTGATCAGCAATTCAGAATTATCAGTCGACTTGATATTGTAGTTATTGCCCTTGATTGAGAGAAATTTTGAATAGCAAATTGATCAAAAATACAAGATCTGCATGCAAATAGGTCAATGTAGATGGCATTGTCAGTTGTTTACATATGAAAGTTATTGCCCTTAAATGGCAATGTTTAAACTTTTGTAAGTGTACGGCAAAATATGGAAGATAGAGAGAAATTGAAAAAGAAAAATGATCAACAAAAATAATATTTTAGTCATGAATTATATTGTTGTCTTTAGAGCATCTAGTTACTTTTAATTTCGATAGCCTGTCTGACAGCAAACATATAAGTTGCCTTTGAGCAATTATGCATAGAGCTATTATTATAATAACTGATATTGTATTCACTTGGCATCTTTCGTTTTTTTGGAAAACTATCTGTATCCTCAGACTAGAACTTTTTCTTAAAAAAACTCCTTAAATCACTATGCTATATAAACTTTAGAAACATGTCCTTTTTTAAAACCCAACAGTTCATATATTTTTTTCGCAGTAAGCCAAGTGAGAAAAAAGAAGAAGAAGAAAACCTAGAGTTAAAGTATTTTTGGTAAGGTCGTATTCATGATACATATAAACCTGAACAAATTACCTAGAAACATTTACCAACCGATGAAAACGATCCTTAATTTTGAGTCCAGAAATCAGTTGTAAATGGTGCAAAAGACATTGTATAGCGACTTAGTATTTCCCGTAGAACAATACCAAGAGTTAGAAAGATATACTCATATTGCATTAGTGCAAATATAGCGTCAAATTATTGCCTTAATCAGTGAACAAAATACGCTGGGATGTTAGAAGTTATTCTAGCTTTGCTACATACGATAAAAGGATTAATAGATATTGGTTAGCATTATCCGTCGTAGATTATATATACTACTCGCAAGCTCGTGCATACACTAATTTACTCGCGATATAATTCACCAATATTGATGTAATAACACTATTTAATGATATAATAAGATGAAATAATATTGTAATAATAAATATTTCGTTAGTGTCATAAAATTTATATTCATTCTTTAAGTAATATAATCAACAACTTTTTTCTAATGATTACATCCACAATTTTGCCATTTTAACGTGTACTAGTTATAACGACACCAGTAAGATATTATTAATAAATAATTTCTAATTATTCCAAATTCTATTCAAGTATCAGAAAACATTCTTTTTCTATTTTTTTTTCTAAATATATCACAAAATAAAATCAAAGCCAAACAAACAGAAACTCAAATCTATATTTAGAATCTAAAGGTCGAGGCAACTCAGCTCCAGTAAGGACTGTTTGATTCATTCTATTGTGCACAAAATAAATATTCTCGTATAAAATCACGAACAAAGTGTTTCTAGAAGCAGTGGAATCGTAATTAATAAATGATTAAGTTTTTTTAATCGCTAATATGCAGTTCGATTTCTTTAATTTCATCATGATGAATACAATAATCTCATGCATTAAATGATACCTCCAAAACAGTACCAACGGTTGTGTTACGTACCAATCGTACCTGATACGTAGCAAATCGAGAAACCTCTTATAAGCGTAACACAAACATGCTCATTTTAAAAAATTATCTAGAACTGAAAAAATAAAACAAAAATATGCCCTTGGAGTTCGCTTTCTATACCCAAATCCACACGACAAAATTATTTTGTGAAAAAACTGCGCAATTTATTAAAATTATGTATGTTCTCAGTTTAGACATGTCCTGATTCTGTGCTGGCGGGTCCTGTCATTGTGCTGATGGGTCCTGATACGGTGCTGGTGATCTTTGGTAAAAAGTTGGTCCTATTTAAAACAAACGTTACAGAATCAATAAAATTGGGCAGATTCTTGTATTCAATCGGATTTGTGACTCCTATTTTTACTTTTGTGCATCCATTTGGCTGTTTAATAAGTGTTTTCAAATAATCGTAACTTATATTACATAAAATGGCAACATCTTCCGTCAAATATCAGATGGAAATATATCTAGTTAGAATAGTTTTATTTAAGATATTAATTGCCCTTAATTTGATGATTCTCAGCATACTATGCTAACTAACAATTAAAAGGTGTTTGAGGAAAAGCGACATTTATACCGACAATAAACGTTTGACTGATTTATTTCAATTTAATATACGAAGTTACATGATCTAACAACTGGTGCCTCTAATCTCTTCTTTAATATAAACACTGTCTCCAATACATTTCGACTGGATAAAAAAACCCGACCCAGACTTGCTTATCATACATAACTGATAAAAACTGACTAGAATGGAACAAGATGTGAACAATTGCAAGTCAAAGTATGACCTTCAACAACAAGCAAAAACCATAACGAATGCTAGCTATGAACATGTAAACGATTAAAAATGAAGACGTTCGGCTTGATTTAAAATACAACTTTGAAAAAAATAAAATATGACAGATTACAACCATCGACAACCACAGGTTTTTGGCACTCGTGACAGAACATGTTTGTTTGCGCTCCATACTTCCTCCCAATCTCAACCCAACTCACATTTCCTCCTTTATTGGTACAGTTGTGTAACAACACAACATTTTTAATTGAGAATGGAAATGGGGAATATGTCAAAGAGATAACAACCCAACCAAAGAGCAGACAACTTATCACACAGTATGATAACATAAAGACACAAACTATTAAAAAATTGAAAACAACACGTTTAATAACTTCATGCGTCCGAAGCGTTTTTCTGGATTTACCTTCATCAGGAACGCTCAAAGCCAAACATTTGAAATCCGAGGTATTTATAAGTAACGAAACAGTTGAAGAGCTATATGACAAAAATACCTAAAACAAATAGCTAAATCCATCTAAGGTCAACTTTGCCTGAGGGAGTTGAAACCTAAGTTTTTTTATAATTTCAAAATTTATAAACGGGCAATTTTAGAAAAGTTTGTTATAAATCATGTCAGTACCGAAGTACTGACTACTGAGTTGATGATACCCTCGGGGACTGATAGTCCACCAGCAGAGGTATTAAACCATGAGTACTTGCAGCTACTGACAGCTAGTTCAAAGCCGCATTTTCAACTAATAAATATACCATGTTCTATTAGATTAAAATTTTAATTGGTACTCATCAAACAAATTTAGTAAAACTTAAGTTCACATTTTAATTTTTTGTTTAGCAGAACTTTAAAACTGAGCAGTGGTAGTTTTTATTTTATTGTTACCAATGTATCGAACATTTTAAGTTAAAAAATTCAACAATACTATATTCATTTTGTGTGTCAATTTGTTTCGAAAAAAAAAAAAA